AATTTTCAATTTTGCCCCCACAATTTAAATTTTGTGAAATTTTCCTCCACAACTCTAGAATTCTAACTCTGCCCATGCCCATATTGAATCTAATTCGAATAAAAGGTTTTTGTACTTCTTCCTTTCTTTTGGTGCTAATATTCAAGAATTTGTATCATACAACAACCCGTAGTTATTGTCGATGGAACATATTTGAAAGAAAACTGCAAAGGAACATTGTTATCAGCCTCAGGTTTGGATGCTAATAAGTAGATATATCCAATTGAATGGATGATAGTAGATTCAGAGAACGATGCATCATGGATGTGGTTCTTGATGAGGTTGAAAGAATGTACTTGCATACCATGTGTCCAATTTCTAATATTGTATGTAACAAATTCACAGAATGTGTTTAGGTTTGTAAGAATACTTGGAGGGGGTAGGATTTCACTTGTGGCATGGATTTTATTTCCAGAGGACCGCTACAACATCATGGTATCGAACAATGCAGATTGAAGTGGATGTGCATTTTGTTACGGACAAAGTTTTTAGTAAACAATCAAGTAGCTGACTTCCTTACTAAAGCTCTATCACACTCAAAATTCACCCATCTAAGAGACAAACTAGGGGTGGTGCAAATCGTCGTCAATAAATCTTGTGTTATTAACTGCTTTATTTACTATTGTCGCAATTCAATATAGGATAAAATTGACTTGATTGAATAAACATCTAGAACAATTAAAAAGCAACTTATTGCTTTTAATTGGTAAGTTTAATTCCGCGTTATTCACCTATTAAGTGATTTTATGCTCGAACTAGTAACTTTCATTCCTCAACTCTCTCATTTGAAAGGGGCGTAAAGAATAAAATTCAACCACGTCCATAGTTACTGCAGTGGCTTACTGACTATTCTTTATACTTGTAATTATTCGACTGGATACTTTCATTTTCTTACTTTTGCCCACAGAGAGTTAATATTGTAATTTTACATGGTTTTTTTTGCCCTTACTTCAATCCACAGAGCAGTGTGAGCAACTTTTTCTTCTCTTCTCATACCAGCAGATCCCTAAATTTAAACTGCAGTAAAAACCAGATCAGTGCGGTTCTCCAAAGAATCCAACTCGACTGCCGACAAGACCAGGTCAATTTCTAAATTAAAGATTTCATTCATGCATTGAAGGAGCAATCACTTTCAAATACTTGCTGTCTTTTCTATCCAAAGAATTTCGTTTTACCTAAACAAGGTTGAGATGGATAGTTAACCTCACGTTCATTTCACGTGAATGTGACACGGGGTAAAGTAAGATGGTCCAATTTTCCCATAAATGTTTTCCTACTACTTCTCTTTTCAAACATTTTTTTTTTTCCGTTTTGGGTTCATTCATAATGGAAAAATTTGCGTGTAGATTATACTCAAAACTTTTAAATCGTAATAGTTAGCTTTTAAACCTTACAAAATTGTGTGACAAAGACACCTGGACAATTTTTGTTCAGAAATTTGCTAATTGATCAAACGTGTATGTTCGATCATAATTTGACTAATTTTAAAAAGATGGTCTTTTCAATTTTAATTAATGAAAAAGGGAATTTTGCATCAGAGGTCCCTCCACCTCTGCCGACCTCATTTCTTCATCCCCATCAACTCCATTTCCTCCTAATAAGAACATTTAAAGAGCAAGGAAGAAATAAATAAAGATATATAAATTTCTTTTAAACCTACCGTAGTAACAATGGCGGAGGCTCCCCCATCTACCAATGGGTGGGGTTGGATGGATTAGAAGTTAGGCATTGGAGTTCGAAGGATAGGAGAAAATGATATTTTTTGTCAACGATCAGATTTTTGGATGAAACCCTTATAGGTCCTTTCGACGCATATTTATTAAAGACATTTTTGAAAGGATTGGGATCGCCTTTTACTTAATTAAAGAACAAAAGACCATTTTTCAATTTGTACAATTGGTTAAATTATGGTCAAACACAAAATTTTGATCAACTAAGGGATTTTTGGACAAAAACGGCCTAGTGGTCCTTCCGTCGCACAATTTTGAAAGGTTTGGAGACTATCTATTATGGTTTAAAGGTTAAAGTGTAATTTGCACTGTTTTGAAATGTTTGGAACATTGTTGCAATTTCCTACTTAATAATATAGTTAAGCAACAAACAAAAATGTAAATAACTAAATTAAAGATTATTTTATTAAATAATTAAAGGTTTGACATTTCATAGATGAAATTAAAATAAAAGTTACTCTGTTACATTGCGACATTCAAATCAATAAATTGGATATTTAATCCAATAAAGGCATTGATTGAAAGAGAAATGGGATGACACTCATAATTGGTGAGCATTATTGTAACTTAGACTTAGTGGGGTCACCTTGAATCGATATATAGACATCGAGAAATAATATGAACCTTTTACTTGGAAAAAACACATGAATGTACTATGCACAAGTTGCATTATCCTTAAACGTGCATGCCATGTGACATTATTCGAGTGTTCACGTCACGTCCTAGAATGTATAGAGTGATATACACTAAACAACATATGGTCCTGTGTGCTGAAATTAAAACTTTTTTCATTCTTTTAGATCACCAAGTAATAATTTATGCAGAGCAACAAACAAAAAATTTCAAGAATGAATTGAAATAATATATGCAATTCAAATTAAAGTTCCTCTGTTCCATTGGAATCATTAAATTGGAGATTTCCTTCATTCAAGGCATTGAAAGATCAATCAGAATGAAGGAAAAACTGATCCCAGCATAAGAAATTAATTGAAACAAATCATTACCATTAAAAGAAAATAAAAATTAGCAAAAAAAGATAGATTAAGAAGAGATATTATATTTCTTTCAAGAGGTGGGACTGATACACTGAGAAGATCAGAAATGAACCTTAACACCCCACCCCCCTAAACCCACCCAACCAACAAAAAAATATATATAGATATAAAACATTACATTTAGAAAAGATAACCCCTTGGTGGATCCAAACTACCTATTTTTCTATGTAATAACTGAAACTGCAAATTACTACTTTTTACTCAAATGGCGTTGCACAAAAAGGAGTTACAGGTGGGGAATTTTGATCATTTCTTGCTAGATTTGGAAGCCTTGGAATTGGAGGAGGTGGACATGTTAAGATCAGGGATGGAATTTGGGCCATGAGCCTGTGACAGCCTCTGCTTCAGCTCATTTAGCAGTGCTTGATTCTCCTGGTTCAGTAGCTCAGCCTTCTTCCTCAGACGTTCATTCTCCTTCATTATGTAGCAGTTCTCCAAGTACAGCTTTGAGTTTAGCCTCTCCATTTCTGTCAAACATTTACAAAAATGTAAGCAAATTAACAACAATAACTTTTGGCATAAAGACAAGAATAAAGTGTACAAAAAACCCATAAAAAAGACAGAAACCCAAAAAAAAAAAAAAAAAGAAGAAAGAAAAGAAAGACAGAATACCTTTTGGAAGGTTGGTTAGAGAAGAAGAAGAAGAAGGGCTTTAGATTTTTTGAGAAAAATGAAAAAGTGAGAGACAAAGTGAAAGGCATGTGAATATATATAGTGCAAAAAGTTGGGCAATAAGCATGCATGTGTAAGCATAGAAGGCGGCTTCCATTTTACTATGATTATGATGATGAGGTTTTTAGGGGATGGCGTATGTGAATGATGAGCTCTGCAGGGAGATAAGGGTATTTTGGGAATTGAACATAAGGGTATTTTGGATATTTGACACTCAAAATGATAGGTGGGGCTCGGCCGTCCGAAGATTCGCAATGATGGTTTGGATTGGTTCAAACCAACGCAGCCCATCATCACAAACCCCCACAATCGATTCTCTTTTGTTTGGTTTTGGCTTTGTAATTGTGTGATAATCTTCCATTTTCACAACTCATACAAGTCTTTTGTGTACATATTTATCCCAAGACAAGTTTAGCACTGTAGGTAGAAAGGAATTGTATATTAGAAAACGATGAATCTACGTTGTCAAACATGTTATTGGTAATATTTGTTGCTTGTTCGATAAAATTTTACATCAAACCACATATTTTATAGAATTCACAATTTTATCAACTTTATAAGAATCTGACTAAACTAGCAGGTTCAGCTAAAAAATTATGAACCAATCTAAAATTCGAAACGATTACGTATAAAAGTTAAAAATCTAGTAACTTCATAATCAATATGTTCATTTCAACAATATCATATTTATTCATTTATTTATTTATTTTTATCATCTGTTCGATCGGTTTAACTCTTTAACTTTTTACCCTTTTTGAGTCGTATCTGAATCATTTTTTAAACAATGGATTGAATCCCGCGTGAGAGTCAATTACAAATCTAGGGCATAAATTCCAAAGAAAGGGCACCAAGATTCCCCTAATCGATCTCATTAAGCAAAGCATAATGACAATTTAGCCCTAAAGTTAATTGGGTGTCCCACGATGGTCTTTTGGGTTACGTTATGATAACAAATGCAATTATTTTGCCTATGGTAAGCATTTTTTCCATACTAAGTTTAAGCTTGAAACAGTGGTGAGGGATAGTATGATGAGTTGGGTTACGAGTGCATTAACGTGAAAAATCATAACATCAACTTGGTAGGTTTTTCAATGGCTTCATTATGAATTTGATTATGATCTTCGAAAGTAATTAATGCTTCCCTCGTGAACCTCGTTCATTTTGCTAATAGTTAAAATAACTTTCGATATAAAAGTATCAAATGAGTGAGTTACGGCTCACCCTTAGGGTGGCCCGGCCGGCCGGCTCTCTAAGATTCACATACTTGGAGTAGACGGAGAA